AAAGTGAAATGCAAATCCCTGCACGTATTAATAAAAGTGACGTTGTAAAAGGTGGACTTAAGTAAAATAACTGAAAAATACCGAGATTACGTCGTTAATGGATAACACCCGATATAGTAAGTATCGCAACACGAATTCCTTTTGCGAAATAGTCACCTTCTTCTTCCTTTTCCGAAGCGATTCCAGTTTTAGCGACAGACCTTTACGTTCCTTTACGATCAAGAGTTAGGTCACAGTCATTTAAACTGGCCGAAAAAAAAGCAGGCTGATTACGTTTCGATTAAAATACGACATTTACAATTCACAATACTGAGACGAAAGTTAATTTCTCAAAATTATTTCGTGTATCAAACTAACTTTTAACGGAATTTTAATAATCGAATAATAAAAGATACGTGTCGAGAAATGTTATTTAAAATTTAATTGGAGAAATTTCAATATCTTTCGAACAACAACGAATGTTTCCTATAACTGTGTGAGAAATTAGATTTCTATAAATTTTGTTTCTCAACTGGAAAAAATTTCACAGTCTGTAACAGTTTTTTCGAACAACTCCTAGATTTCAGTAAATACAAAGTTATTCGAGATACTACTACAGATACGGAATATTTTTCAATTAATAATTTTTTTCAAGTGCAATACATTTCTGTAAGAGATCTGCTGATGATGAATAGTCATTTCTTTAGTATATTCGGACGACTCATTTGAAACGGAGGATCATGTCGCGATGCATCAAAGAATAATGAAAAATAATGGATATCTCGTTTTCTCACTCATTCTGGTTGACTCATTCTGATATATAATTCATCAGCTGTGAGAGGTGACCGCTCGCTGCGACTAACTCTACCGTGGTAGAAATAATGGCGTATAAGTTTCGAAATTTGGCAAGCGAACGTCTTCCGAAATACTACTGCATATGATATTGCGAGAGATTATTATACCACCCTATCCTGCGATCGTTATTAAAAGAGATTCAACGCGTGTCACATACTTCGTGTGAATGTAAAACGAATGTAAAACAATTCTTTGTAAATATTCGTGTTTGGCAATACAATTCAATGTTTATCAGCAAAAGAGTAAAACTCTTACTGTTGATCCATATTTAACTCTCATGATCCAATGCCTAAGTAACTGTGACTCATCCGTTTGACGGACCTGTTTGTATAGCCGCGAGATGATGATCGCATAATTGTTAAAAACAAATCTTCGACGAACGAAATAAATAATTAATTAAAATAAATAAATAAATAATTACAATGTTTCAAAGAACAAAAAAATATATATATATATACCGAATATAAGAAATCAATAAAATCATTTAATTAATTTTGATTTGTCTAGGATTTGTACAAGCAAATGAATTTTCATACTTTGGATAAGTTATGTTGCTTATCGAAGAGATTGCGAAATGTTATACAAATAGAAGTCCACCTCGTCGATTTCAATGATCTTGAAATATATTGCGAAGGTCAATGTTCTGAGTAATCTTATACAGAGTGTCCCACGCAACTGGGACAAACTGTTAAGTTAAAACACGTTGTTAAATTTCTTAAACACGAATGACAGAAAGAGTAAAAATTATAGAAAGACACGTGAATCATGTACACGTGAGTCATATATTAAGCAACGTAAGGGGAAAAAATGTTTAAGATGCAAGTGGAGGATTATTCGAATGTTTGTGACAACGTTACATTGTGCAACTTATTTAGTATTAATAAATAAAATTTGCTATTGAAATTTAATAAATGACTAATATTTACAAGGGGAAATATTTTTGACAAAAATTTTCCAGAATAGTAATAAATAATAATAATTGTTTAAAAAAAAATAAATATAATAAATTTGATGATTCAATATTATAATACAGAAATCTCTATAAGACTATAATTTTGTTCCAAAATTCGAAGATCTCTTTCCTTGATATTGTGTTACTGAGATTCGAATATGTTTAAGATATGATATTTCTAATTAAATTTCTCTCGCAACTATATGTAAAAATACATACACCTTATAATTTCCTGCAATTTTGTTTTAATTTCAGGCAAGCTAAAATCAGTGACCCATCTATCTACTCTGTAACAGTGTAAAACTTGTACTAAAAAATAAATCTATAACATACATAATATATATAAAATCTATATTTCGTAGAAACGATCAGGATGTTAAATAAGGCACGTTGCATACACTAGACTAGGCACTATTTCAAACTTCAATGATTATGTTATAGATAGTTGTCGAATAAGTAATCTGATAAATGTAATAGGAAATTAATCAATTCCATGCTAAATTACGATGTGCCTGTTGCAAGTTAGAGCCAAAGTATTTTTAGAATGCATAGACATACGTGTCTTTTTTCCAAGGTCTAATCTTGTGTGCAAAAGATAAATTTTATCAAGAAAAAATAAAATTATTTCGATCTACAGAAATGATAAAATTTTTAATTTAATATATAGGCCTACTTTCATTAATAAATCTACCTTTTTCAATAAATATTAATTAGATGAAATTTTATACAGTACAATTGTACAATACAAAATGAAATTTCCATACATAATCTTACTTCGTAATTTAAATTGAATTAGTCATTAAAAAATTATACTTTTTAATATCTATTATCTTGCTATTTGTAATGTCGAGAAAATTTAAAAATCAATGTACGTATTTGTCGCATATTAATTCTCAATTGTTTCACTCACCAGGCATGCATATCATTCCGTGTAATTACTTCGAGCATAAATTGCTACCCGTTCATCTATCAGTCGTCAAAACATCTCATTTGTATTCATAAAATAAATATCAATTAGAAAAAAACAATTATCTAATTTATACAGTGTGTTTGAAAAAATTTGTAGAGAAGTACATTTACAACTCTACGATTGATTTTTAATAAAAGATTTCAATTAGCATTCATTGAATGTAATGCATGTACACAAACTCTTAATTTTCATTGAAAAAAATCTTGTGTTCTCACTCTCTCTGAATGTCTGAAATTCATAATTAAAAATGTAGAGAATTCTAAAAAGAAAAAATTTTACCACTATATTTTTCATTATTTTGTAGTATTTAAATTGAATTAATTTTTATTTTTTATTTCCATTTCTATGTTTTAAATTGACCAGCAATGGAAATAATTTCTAATAGAAAAAGTAACAAAAGTAACAAAATTAAGCACAAGTGTAAGTAAAAGAATTTGAGATAATGAAAAATATCTTAATAATATGCAATTAATAAACGAATATTAATTTCACTTTTATAATTCTAATTTATAAAATAAAAATATTGTTTATGTTCCAACATCAAATAACGATATGTAAATGTATTGAATCTCGTAATATAAATTCTTAGACTTATTAAAAAAAATGTTTTATATTATAGATTTTAAATATATAAATATTTGATGTGTGTACCAAAAATTAAAGTTCAAAAGACATCTGTAATTTCATTAAATTCAATCTCGAAATCATCAACTTCGACTAGAAGTATTAAAGTATTAAATTAGTAAACATCGACATGATAAAAGATGCATCTTCTTTCTGTTAAATTTATAATAGATGGAAATGTAATGAATAAAAATTAACAATTATTTTTCTTCTCTAAATGATAAATATTACTATGAAAACATACACAGTACCTTATTCACAGGATAAAATGGACCTATCGGTAAAATATAAATTCACGCTAATAATTCCCCTTCGAAGTGTGGTTCGCACTTTCACGCTTTTGATATGATTTAAAACCACAAGCACAATTTACATTTAAACGATGTGATAAAGAGAAGAAATTCTTTGCACTGTTCGATACGATTTAGAAAGGTTTACTGACGTTTACCGCCACCGAATTTGGAAGAGAGGGAAAATGTACCGAACGAACTCCGAGAATAGCTATCCCCTCGTCTTCAACACCCTCCCACTCTGATTTGCAAACTATATATATACGCACGCCGATCTGCTGTTTCTCTCACTATTCCTTTCTCACTATCACTGTTCTCTGTCGCCATTTTTATTGTTCATTAGAGCTTTACGATTTTATTTAAATCCTCTATTCGTACAATGTTCATCCAATTTTTATTCAGTCTAATGGTTAATGAAACTTGAAACTCATATGAACAGTTTAATAAGATTTCATGAATTTAGAAATCTGATGTTATAATATATTGTATCATAATTAAATCTTATAATAGTTAAAAGAATTTTATAAAAATTTGCAAGTTTTAATTGTAATTTATCAATTTTCAAATTTATTTCATAAATCTTATTTTTATCTCTTTCCACAATGTGTTAAAGACATAATCGCGATTTTTAGGATTCCCAAAGAGATAACAGTTTAACTGTAGTAATTCATAATTATATAATCATAATTGTATGTGTAAATGTAGAATTTTTATTTCTTATGTGTAGGTGCATGTCAATCATGCAACGATAAGAACCTTCTTTTATCAAATATAACATAAATTCTAAAGAAAATGCGAGAAAGTAGACATATTATAATCATTAAAAACATATTTAATGATTTTCTTATAAAATTATAAAACAGTATAAAATTAGCTTATCTTTCAAGCAGATATATAAAGATGTTCCGTTTATTTATTTATTGAAAATGTATAAAATGTATACAATTATGAATTATAACACTTCTGTGTATAATTGTATAAGACTATTAATGGGAACAGAAACAGAACTTATAATAGTAAGAATAGGATATAATCACAAAGGGAAAAGAATATTCATTAATACCAATAAAGAATTTAACTTATTGATATTAAATCTGAAACATTCCTTGAATTATCATTCTGTGAGCATGTTAAAAAAAATTAAACTTAAATTAATGAAAATAATTTATAAACAATAAATGACTGTAAATGTAAAACAATGTAAACAATATTATTTTTTAAAAAAAGAATACAAAACTTAACTTTTAATATCTTGATATTGTTATAGATATGTATTTGTAGCAAAAATTTCCAGTCTTAATGAAGTTAATACACAAGAATGTTGCCAAACTTATGTTTTCACAGAATTAACTGCTTTTTTTGCAGCTTCATCTAAATCATTTGCTGTAACAATTGGTAAATTGCTCTCTGCAAGAAGAACTTTTGCTTCTGTTACATTAGTACCTATTTTAAAAACAACAAAGTAATCATTAAATTATATAACAATAAAAACATAAATAAATAATATTCTAAAACTGCTAAAATTAACAAAATTAAAAATTAAATAATTATTAAAAACTAAATACGAAAATAATTACCTTCTAGTCTAACAACAAGTGGAATTTTAAGCTTTAAATTATGAGATGCTGTAATAATTCCTTTTGCTATTGTAGCACAATTTACAATACCTCCAAATACATTTACAAGAATAACTTTTACTTTTGGATCTAGAGATACAAAGACAAAATTACTTTTATAGAAAATATGTAAATATAATTTTGCAGATATAATATTATGTTTGATAAAATCATTCATTGGACTTCTTAATATAGTTATGAATTTAGAAATATTTTTAGCCATCATATGATGTATAGAAGGTAAGAAAAGTTTATCTTTTCTATCTTTTTCAATTTAAAAAATCTATGTTATAATACATACCTTCACTAAGAATTCTAAATGCTTGATAAACCTGATCCTCTTTTACACTTCCACCCACATCCAGAAAATTTGCTGGAGATCCACCATTTAATTTAATAATATCCATAGTAGCCATAGCCAAACCAGCACCATTAACTAAATATATCATTTATATATATATATATATATATATATATATATATATATATATATATATATCATTTTGAATTCTACATTAATTAGAATAATTTTTTATTCAAAATATTTTATACAAATTTTTGTAAATTAAAAATTAAGTACCAATTATTTAAAAAATTTTGTATAATATTGTAGATATTATTATTATACTACATATAAACATACCCAAACATCCTATATTGCCATCCATACCAATATAATTCAAATTGAATCGTGATGCATCTGCTTCCCTAGGATCTTTTGTATCACTATTCTCTAAGGCAAATAAATCTTGTTGCCTAAATTGAGCATTGTCATCAAATGCTATTTTTGCATCTACTGCTATAACTTGTTTATCTAAAGTTTCAACCAATGGATTAATTTCAACTTGTAAAGCATCAATATCTACAAATAATTTCCACAAATTTTTTAATTCATATATTGCTTTCTCTTGTATCGTTGGATCCACAAAACCAAGAAATATGCTAACATCTTTAGCTATCTCATCATTTATTCCATAATATATGTCAAGAGGTATAGTTTTTATTAATTCTGGACTTTTTTCAGCGACTGTTTCTATATCCATACCACCTGCTGGTGAAGCAATTAATACAGGACCATTGTACTGCCTGTCCATAAGAATACAAATGTACATTTCACGTGCAATATTTACAGATTCTGCTATCATAACTTTTTGTACCAATATACCATCTTTTGATGTCTGTTTTGTAATAAGACGATGGCCTAACATATTTTTCGCAACATCTATAACAGCTTTACGGCTATTAAAAATATTAAACAATGAATAATACACATATTTTTGTATTGTATGTTATATTATCTATACCTACTCTTTTGTAAGATGTACACCTCCTTTAAAACCATTATCAAACCATCCTTTTCCACGGCCACCAGCTAGTACCTGAGCTTTTATAACATACTCTTCTGCACCTACAAAAATAAATAAAAATCAAATAAATGCTAATTAATATATACTTGTATGATTTACAGTAATAGATTGATAAAAAATTAAACTAAAAAGAAATCAATTTTGGATTACAAAGCACATTACTATTAAACTTGTATTAATAATTTATTATAATCATATACAAATTATAATTAAATAAATACTAACTTAATTTCTGTAATGCAGAATTCGCTTTATTTAAATCATCCACAATAGCAAAATTTTGTACAGAAACTCCACAATCTCTTAGGAGCTCCTTGCTCTGATATTCGAGTAAATTCAAATATCTAGCTTGTTTAATATTAAATTTTGAAACTTTGTTCAACATTTGTCTCGAACATAATTTTTGACTTGTAAATCGCAACATATTTAGCTTTAAAAGTAAAACTTTACAAAATAACTGAAATTCTTCTGTGATATTTTCTCAAGACTATTTACGAATCGCAGTCATTGGCATTCAAATAACATTTATCTCCGCAGAATATATTTACAGTTTTTTAAAAGTTATCAACAAAATAAGAATTATCATATGTATCTTAAGCATTATCATTGGTTTCTAAAATTAAACTACATGAAACAGTATCTAAAGTATAATTATTTTTTATAACCTCTACATTAAAGTAGCTCTCCATACATATATACACGTATATGTATATATTTGGCAATAAACTGATGCCTACTACGTGTGCCTAATGATGTCTAAAATATTTAAATTTAAATAATGAAATAAATTTTAAATATAATTCCTTTAGTATTTTGGCACTATATATATTAGTTTAAATTAATAATCATTTAATAAATTAATAATAAATATTTAATAAACTTAATTATAATTTTTTTATTTGAATTTTATAACCTTTAGAAATATTAAAATGTTATTCATTATATATTAAAAAAATTATATGCAAAAGTTATCCGTCTCTCAATTAAAATTCATTGAATTTAATATATTTCAATTTAATGCACTTTTAACTCAAAAATGTATATTTTTAATTATATAACTATACATATTTTATTTTTCCTACATAATTTTATTTTTTGAAAGACTAATAAAGGATAAAAAACAAATTGATTTTTCTTGTAAAAAACATATATAAGATTTTATTTACTATTAATGTATTAGTATAAAAAGCTATATATTCTATTCTCATAAGTTAAACATCCTTACATCAATGCAATGACAGCTACCAAAATTTATTATTTTGTATAATTTGTGTTTTAAGTTAAATGCAATTATACAAATAATAAATTTTTTACATAATTAAATAACAGATGTTTATACGCAACGTGTTGACAAAATTCTCGTATGCATTGTTTTATATCATTTTATGAGATTCTTTTTAATCAAGTTTTTTGTTATTGTCTATAGTCAAGAGTATAACATTAAAAAATATTAATATGATAATTATTATTTACACATTATCATTTGGACATTCATTTATGGACGGATAGATATAATTTTTTGTACAAAAAAGTTCTTAATTTAAAAAAAATCATTTGTTCATAATATCTTAATAATTCAAAAAAAATTTATATAGAAGTCTATCTTATATGTATATATGTATATATTAGATTATTTTTAATGACAAAATATCTTTACTTTGACAGAATAATCCATTTATCTTGTTTCATTTAATACTTTTAAACAAATTACAATTTAGTTTGTAAATATTAAAAAAAAAACAAGTACTTACTTAAAAAATTGAGATTTTAAAATATATATTCCACATTCATTCATGTTCATGTCAACATTATCATACAATGTCAATTTATGACAACCATCTATTGTATTATCTAAAATTGATGGTTGAGTCTCATTAGAAATCTAATAAAAGTGATCATTTGCATCAAATATTGCTCAACAAATTAATGGTTTAAAAACATCAAATTGTACTGTTCTATTTCTAGTTTTTCATAAAAATATTTATACGCGCGCGCGCGTGCATACACACACATACACAACGCTCTCTTCAATTTGTTACTAATGATTTAGTAGATCTATGATATTATAAAAAGTATACTCGTATTATATATATTCATAAATTCTCAATAATAATAACAATAATATACCTAAAGCAGCATCCAGAATTTTATTACCCGCACTGCTTCTAAAAGCAGCTGCATCACCCATTTGGAATGTATGAGTTGGACTTGACATACGTCCATCTCCTCCTTTGCTAAATGCAAGTACACGTAAATGATATGCTTTTCCAGGACTGAGATTTGTAATGTAAGCTTCTAATTTCGAACCACCTGGTATAATAGTATCATTTGCGGTACTCATATCTTGATCTAACTCCCAAACACGTATTTTGTAACCTATTAATGGTTCTTCCTCTAAACTTGGTTGCACATAGCGCCAAACAACTCGAACTGTTGAAGGGTTTACTCCATATACGTTGACAGAAGATGGTGGTTTTTGCGGTGCTTTACGATAAGTTCTCTCTAAATATCGTTCACTCTCAGGTCCTTCTCCAGCAGTATTATAAGCCATTACTTTAACATAGTAATAAGTATCTGGTTGCAAACCAACTACAAGAGCCCAAGGTCTCGCAGTTCGAGATAAATAATAAACTGCATCTTCCTCTTTATTACTTTCTTTCCAATATTTTATTCTATGCCCTATCAATTTGCCTCGTATCTTTTCGCGTGTTTGTTCAATTGGCGACCAACTAACTTTCAAGCTAGTACTATTGTAGCTGTGTGCAACAACTTGTTGTGGAGCTACTTGGGGCATATCTTCAGCACTGAATATCGTAACTGCGTTAGAAATTGGTCCAAAACCTAATGCATTAATGGCTTGAACTTTAACTTCATATTCTGTATAATAATATTGCTGTTGTATTTGAACAACACTTCTTCCAACATTGCCATAATCTTTTAAAGATAATGATTGAAACTCGGTTTCGTGACGCTTTTGACGCCAAAAAACTTTATAATAGATTCCTGGACCATTTTGTTCAGATGGCGGTAAAGGATCCCATATTATTGTAAGATCTCCAATTTTTCCTCCTCCTCCACCTATATTAGATGGAACTTTCGTTGGTTTATCTGATGGTGTGCTATATTGTGGAGAAGGCGATGATGGTAAACTGTATCCTAAGTCATTAAAAGCACATACACGAAACTCATATGTAGTATAAGGATTTAAAACATTTTCCAAATAAGCTTCTTTTCTACCATTGTATCTATCTACTTCAACAGCAGTTATATCTGAAAAAATATTTATATTATGTACAATATTTCATATAATTAAAGATTATAAATAATTGTATCATACATACTTTCTATAATATTAAACCACGTATGATTCCAATTTGTTCTTGCGCTTACGGTATACATAGTAATAGGTTTGCCATTGAAAGCACCATCGGTCCAGCGTAAAGTTGTAGAAGTTTTTACAATATTTACAACTTGTACACCACCAGGTGGTCCCGGTGGTCCTTCTATTGTAACTGTCGTTTTACTGGAAATTTCACCTACTGCACTTTTAACTATGCATTCATATTCTCCTGCTTCCGCAAATGTAGCATTTATTATGTTAAGTTCTTCTCCATCAATATGTAATCTAGGATTGTTCATTAAATCTTCGTCTCTAATACGTAAACCATTATGTTTCCAAATATAAGCTACATCCAGCATTTCATCTACTTCCCCCATACAATGCAGTGTTTGATTTTGCATCACTGCGGTAGTAATGTATTGTGGTAATTTTTCCATAAACTGTGGGCCACCTTTAATTTAATAAACTCAATGTGTTAAACATAATGAAATATATAATTATATAAGATGTTCGTGAAATCATAAAATCATGACATCCTGTCTCTAAAAAGATGATTCCTCTAAAGACAAATTTAAAATGAAAATTTTTAATTCAGTTTTATTAAAAATTAATACGTCTAACTTGATTTAATTTATGTTGTTATTTCATGAACATCTTGTACATGAAATATATAAATATCTTACGTAATACTATTAAGCGTCCACGAGTTTCATCACTTCCATATTGATTTGTTGCAGTACAAATGTAGGTACCTTCATCATCTCTCGATACTGGAGAAATTATTAGATTACCAGTTTCTAAAATTCGACGCCTACCACCAGAACCAATCACATTTCCATCTTTCTTCCACACAAATTTTGGTCTAGGTGCAGCTTCGGGATTGCAATATATTGTAACATTACCTCTCTCTGCTGCATAAGTTTCAGGTTCCATAGGTCGTTTTTTAAAAGATGGTTTTAATGCTAAAATTTTAAAATAATATATAAAAATAATAATTTCCAAATATGAAAATTATAATATCAATATATAAATAATAATTTACATAAAATTCGTAGTTGTGCAGATGAATATTTTGTTTTTAATTGATTTCTCGCACGACACTGATACATAGCTTGGTCCCGTTCTGGATCCAGATATTTTATACTTAAAACATTATCTTGTATAGAATATCGATCTCTATCTTCTGGAGGAAGCGTTTCCATGTTCAGTATTTCACCATTTCTAAACCAATTATAAGAAACATCTGGTATTCCAAATGCTTCACAAGTCCAAGTTAACTCTCCTCTATTATCCATGTGTTTATCTGTTAATGGAATTGTGAAGTTCGGAGCTGCTTGAATAGTTAGCCTTACAGAATTTTCAATTGCCGATCTATCATTATGTACTCTACAAATGTACTCTCCTTGATCATCAACGTGTACTTTTGCAATTATTAATACCCGATTAAAACTAGTTGTGTATGATCCACGTGGCAGTGATGCACCTCGTCTTGTCCAATTGTATGATGGAATTGGGCTGTGTTAAATTAAAAAATATATTATATAATAAAATTATGTGTTATCTCAAAAGTATCACAATTTATTAATTTAAATATTGTAATTTATTTAAAAAAGAATTAACTTACTATCCAAATGCAATGCATTCAAGTCTAACTTCCTCTCCTGCAATTGGAGCTTCTGGAAATGCCTTTGGAAAGTTATTGGGAAACTTTAATTGCTGAAAAGAGGCTAAAAATAAACAAATTATCAAATTATCATCAAAAAATAAAATATTTTACTTGTAAAAGTATATTAAGTTACAGATGAAGATATTAAGATGATGATATTAAATTACACATTGAAGAATAAAGAAAAATAATTACAATGTGGATCAACCCTCAAGGGGAAAAATGGTCCATTACGACCAGTATCAGAGGCAACACTTTGAACATTACAAGAATAATTGCCACGGTCGATCATTTCCAATGCAGAAAAATAAAGTGCTCCATCATGAGAGACAAAAACACGTTTATCTTCTTCCACGAAATTGGGGAAATAATCACGTGCCCAATAATATTTGACTCCTGGAAAATGCTGTGGTGGATCGCAATATACAGCTTTACCCCAATTTTGTTCCCCACGTTCTTCTGAACGTTTTAAATTAAATTCTAAAATATATCCAAATGACAGTTCCACACTTTCAGATATGATTGTACCAAATTTATTTGTTGCTTTGCAATGGTATGAGCCTCTGTCTTCTGCCTAAAAGTGATTAATTAGTATCATGTAAACTATTTTCTTTTAATACATAAGTTTTATACAATTATTAAACTTTATATAAATATTACTTACCTGATCAGGTTCATAAATAATTAAAGTACCACCACTAACTGTATATCTAATATTATTTAATGGATCTATTTTTGTTGCAATCAGTCTATCATTTTCATAATCTTCTTTGAACCACTCATACATTGGCGCAGGAAAACCACCTGCTAAACAACTCAGTGTAACATCATTGTTTATTTTTCTTTTTGACAAATCAAATACTTTATCAGTAGGTTGTTTAATGAAGTATGGTCCTCTAGGAATTTCATGGGGATTATCAATTTCAATGCCATACTGATAAGTACGATCATCATCTACTAAGTTATGTAGGTTAGAAATTGGTGCTTCACAAATGTATAACAACTTATCTTTGCCAGTTACTTTTTCCAGTCCCCACCTTTGTAAATTATTATGATAAGAATACACTAAATAGTCTCCACCAAATATATTATCAATTGGTTCAGGTAGAAATGCATTATCCATATTTAATAACTGAGTACTATCAGCTTCATTTATCCAGTTCCCATTTTGGTATTGTATACCAGTATACCATTTGCGGTGTTGTGGATCTTGCCATAATAATTGATATAATATAAATCCATGTTCTTCCAAGGAATTAATTGTAACAAGGTCACTTTGATAAGCTTCACAATTTCTTCTTGCTTCTTGCCTGTTTCTGATAGGACTCTTTATAAAACGATAACATGATTCTTGAAATTTTATCCAATGTTGTGGACATTGATGATATTGTTCCCCATATAAGATGTTTTGTGCATTACTTGACACAATGAGAATATATATTAAAATCTTTGGTATATAATACATCATTATTTCAATATAATTGATTATAATCTGAAATAAAAATATATTGTTTAATTGTACAAATTCAATCATTCCTTCTTTATCTATAACAAGAAATTAAGTAATAAAACATAATATATTTCAAATGACTGTTATAATATTTTTATTATAAATATAAATAATATCAGAGAAAATATATAAATGTTAATTTCTAATTATTAATCATTTTCCGCCTTGCTTTAATATTATTAATTATACATAACAAGAATAATACAAAAAATTTAAAAAAAAATAATTACTTCAACAGTAAAATTCAAAGAATTAATTGCATGACTGCATGTTATATGACCACATAAGCTAGGGAGTGGCACTATAATCTTCAGGTAACTTTAATATAATATTTAATACAATCTTCGAAAAGACCTTTGACTTTTAAAATTATACTACTATTAACTGTTTATTACCTTTAATCAATTTCCATTTACGTATATAACATCATAAATTGTTATTTAACAATCATAGAAATCAGCGTCCTTATTGTTGACACAACACATGACCAAATAAGCCTGAACACAAAGCACATATGACATCAAAAATATGTTTCAAAAAATTACCACAAATTTTAATCTAAAGTATAAAATCCAAATTATACAAAATAAAACTGTTTGTTCGATATAATAAATATTTTATTACACATGTGTAATTAATTCACATTGTACAATAATATACAATCCTATTTCATTGAGAACAAACCTTTAATATTGTACGCTTCGATTCATTAGGGTGGGGTTCTTTATATAGTTACGTTCCTTTCTACTTACATAAATTGTACTTATTTGAGAAAATGAGGTTTCGTGTAATTTTGTTTCTTTTTTTGCTCGATTTATGTTTAATTGAAACATAGCAGTCATTGTCTACCTAAGATTAATTTGATTATACATATTTCAAATTTGGTAAAGATATAAAATTCACGTAACAGGTACTTAAGTTTTTCGTATTCTCGACAATGAAGTATCAACAATTTATTTTATTTTTTAATAAGATTTAAGGATAGGAATTTGAAATGTACATAGGAATTTGAATTGACAAGCAATAAGATATTTATTTAGACAAAATTACCGCCCTTTACATAAGCATGTATTGATATATATATATAATTCTTTAATGCAACAGTATACGTGTATACGATCCGATACTGTTATATAAAAAGTTTAAAAAGGATATTCAGGATGACGTTTTATGCCCTTAAACATAATAAAATCACAAATTCTGCCAGCTTCGTGAAGATCGAGATTTGATAATTTTTCCATATCCTCCGGCTGAAGTTCCCAACTGAATAGTTGTATATTTTCTTTAATTCTTTGAGAATTCGTACTTTTAGGGATAACTGCGATTCCATTTTGTACAATAAATCGTAATAAAATTTGTGCAGATGATTTCTTGTAATTCTTTGCTATTTCTAATACTACATTGTCTTGTAACATATCTGGGATTTCTTGCGATTTTTTCAGTAATTTCACAAAACCGCGTGTACCAAGTGGCGAATATGCTGTTATAGGAATGTTTTGCTTTTTACAGAATTCTACCTGTAAAATATCATTTTATTTTATACTAAACAATTTTGTAACAAAATATACATTCAAAGAAAAACATGTCTTACCAAATGCTTCTGTTGTAAGTAAACATGCAATTCAACTTGCAACATCGATACTTTTACCTTCGAATTATTTAAAATTCGCGTAATTTGGTGAACATTGAAATTTGATAATCCAATTGCTTTAGCTCGTCCACAGTTGACTTGCTTCTCCATTTCAGCCCAAATTTTGACGTGATCCGTACTGAGATCAAGCTTAATTTCTCCATTTTCATCCTGAGGATGAAAATCTCCTTTTACTTTTTCAAATGCGAAAGGAGTGTGAATCAAATAAAGATCTACATATTCTAACTGCAGATCTTTTAAAGATTTTTTAATGCATTTTTCAACATCTTCCGGTCTGTTTCCAGAAGGAGGAAGCTAAGAATAGAAAAACGACAATTTTTAATAATCCTTTATAACTCAATATTATTTAATGATTAATTTAATATTATTAATGATTAATTTCTATTAATTTCGTTAACATTATTTTTACGTTATGATTCTAATAAAATTGATATTACCTTTGTAACAATGAAAATATCAGATCGCTTAATTTTTCCAGAATCAAACCATTTTTTGAGAACCTGACCAATTATTTTTTCATTTTCATATACTGTTGCTGTATCAATATGTCTATATCCTGCCTCTAATGCAATGTCCAATGCTTTCTGTAATTCCTCTTCTTTTGCCTTAAATGTTATTTAAAATAATTAACAATGATTTTTCTTAGAATTGACAAAAATGACAAAAGTATATACATCTTATATTTGCTATTGGAAAGATGTAGAACTAACTATTAATGTAACTAATTTGTATATCTTAGTCATTAAAATGTACTTATAAATGCATTAGAGATATAAATATTTCCTTTTACGTTTATCCTTGTGTTATTTTGAGGTATCATGTTATGATTAAATCTTTCCACGATCGCTTGCATACATTATATAAATGTATAAAAAGTATCATTTAAAAAATTAAACATCATTTTGACTTTTTAAAATAACATTACAAATGTAAAAAGTTGTGCTATTGTGTATACTAATTTTAAAATACTGTAAAACTTTTTTCTCTATCGTGTATATCTATAAGATAAACATGATAATACGATTTATAAATAAATCTTATCATATTTTTATATTTTCATACACAATCATAATGTATAATATAATAATAATTTAACGAAATGTTAATAATTTTAGATGTATTTTAATATTGTGGTAAAAATGGTTTGATAGAATTGTGTAATACACGCGCATATATCTGTTGTGTTTCATTTCCGTGATAAATTAAACTAGTACGATTAAACTAAACATCCCTTGTAAAAAAAAAGTTTTGTTATTATATTTTATTCAATTTTTATTCAAAAATTGATCTTTCTTTTGTTTTAAAAGACGAGTGAATCAAGATTATGATTATATAAAAAAAATAACCTATTACTAGGTAAAATGTATTTTTATATATCATTTTTACTTAGAAAAATTAATAATATTATTGACAATGTTAATAGCTTTTCTGCTATAAAAATTTTTTGTTGTAAAAATATTTAATTTTTAAAATTGAAAGAATGAGTTTTATACTTATTAGTTTATACTTATTAATACTTGTATTTTAAACTGTGAGGTTAGAAATTATATTAATTACATATAAATTGACGTAATTTTAAAATTTTTGGTTGAAAATATGTAGATATAAATAAAATAATATTGATCTTAGGTTTAAAGTAAATCTATACATATAAATATATCAAATTATTTAATTACATGAATGTATGTTTTATTTTCATATAGTAAAATATTAATTATTACTACAATTCTTGTATTTTTTATGGCATTTATACAATTTAAAAAAAAAATTAAAAGAAATCTTTTTTATGTGTATATTTGTAATGTTGCTTCAAGACCATTAGCAACAGGTTGTAGTCAAAATAGATGCATATATCAATTCTTCATTCTTTTATTACGTTGTTAAAAAAAGAGTAACACTTCAAACTAAGCAAGTTGATTTATAGATTTATGATAACTAAGATTTGTTATCCATTTATCTAAATATTTATCTAAATATATTTTAGATAAATTCTTAATACGTATAGATTATTGTTATTTTAAAATTATTTATAATGAAAAAAACAAGAACAAAATTATTGTTAAAATATTGAATCCCTGTTCTTGTAATGTTTAACAATAATAAAATGAATTTATAATTTTATATCACAAAATTAAATGAAATTAAATATGCAATCTCAAAAAAGCATTTAGAAATTAAATTAAATTAAATTAAATATGCAAATTCAAAAGAAAGCAGATTAGAAATAGAACACATATAATATAATAACATTTAAAAATCAATTGTAGCTAATTATACGAATATCATCTTAATATTTTTGTGTCTAAATGATAATTACAGTAAAAATAATTCTTTCACAAATGTTTTAGTTCATGCGTATATTAAACAATTTTACCTGCCAAGTTCCAAAACCAACTATTGGCATTAATTGTCCATTTGGAAGAAGAATAGAATTATTCTCCATTGCACTCTTGTATACACTAAGAACTTTGTAAGATGACTGAATAACTGGAATACTGACTCCAGCCTTTTAAAACCAGCAGCACTTTCACTTTAAGTATTTGTGCAGGCTCTTTCTATAATTTTTTAATCAGAAGAAGTAATCCAGCGTGACTTTCAAGGTTTATCAACTACGTGATAATAATAGCGATATTTATTAATTGTGAAATATTTGAACAGTTCTTAATTATGTAAGTATTTGAAAATTTTCTTTTATTTATAAAATTTTCAAAGGAATTATGAAACAGTATAAAGTAAAGGATAAATGTTTATTGATATATACTTAAATATATCTTGGAACTTTTTATTATTTTTTTGTTTAATCTTGATGCAATTCTTGAATTTTTACATTTAAATTTTACATTCAGTTTAGCGAAGCTTGCTAATTCATATTTTAAAAAGATGTTTAACATAAAATATAAATTTAATCGAAGATTCTCACGAATACTATAAATAAAATACTATAAATAAATACTATAAATAAAAATTTTTTCATATTTCATTTAAATTTGAGATATTTTTCAATTTTCCAGAACGGAGTAAAATTATCTAAATTTGAAGTTTATTATAGAAATAATTACAATAATTTTATAATTTTTACATAATATCTGTTTCGTTGCAGATATGAAAAGAATGAAAATAACATAAATTAAACAGATAATGTATCGATGTGTAAATTGTGGAGCTAAAGTGGAAGAACTCTACAGGAGATACTGTCCGAGCGTTCTCAAACTTTTAAAATGTGTATGTTGCATATTATATAATTTTTTTTCTTTGCAAAAATATAAAATTAGTTTTACGTCTTTAACTACGGAAATTTTATGTATAATTTTACAGAATAACGTTCCAACTTTAAATTTTATTTAAATAAAGTTTAATCTAAATTTTAAATTATTTAAGAAAAATTTGCATTTGCACGTTTTGAAAAGTGATTTAAACACATAATGTTTAACACGAAATGACTAAATACTCGATAAATTTTAAAAATATTAACTATAAACTTTAATAATCGAAGTTAGTGATACATAACGATCAAATGACTTTTTCAGGATAAGTATATTAATTAGACCAAGTGAAATCGTATGATCTATATTGTGATCTGTTTGTATTATGGACATATTTGTACATATTTGTACGTATTATGGAAATGAAATGATCACGATGCCATTATATCCATATTTCGTTTCTTTTTTTTCTATATTTTATGCTCAACAAATTAATGAGCTTCTATTTTCAACCAATTTTTTCCTTTAGTTTACTTGCACTAGATGATTTTCCTTTACTTTACTTGCACTAGATAAGCAAACAAGACTTTTATTTTCTTATCTTCTTATCTTTTTATCTTCTTATCTTGTTTGATTGTGCTTATCAAAAAAACTTTTTTCTTTGAATATTTTCTCTTTGTTGGATTTTTTTTCTCTTTCTTTAAAAATTTCAATATAGCAGATACAGATAAATTTCAGTATAAATCTAGATTTCATATATAACAGGTTTTTTTTATCTTTGTTTCAACTTTATTGAAGTACATTTTCATCTCGAACAGAATTCTGTCATGACTTAGAATTGTAAAACTTATTAATCGACTTAATAATATAAATTTTAAGGCTGAACTGAAAGCATTAAATGATAAGTACAGTTTTTCTTACTCTATATAACAATATTGCAAAGTAACATTTAATAAAGCTTTTGAGATTCAACTTGAGATTCAAAGTATGTTCTTGGCTACATAATTTTAATTTATGATCCATTAGAGTGCAGCGTTAGCTGATCGTAGCTAGCTAGGACAATTTCTAGCTAGCTATCAAGGTCAAGAAAAGTAAAATTCTTCTAGGAGAACCCGAGTGTTCTTTTTTTTTCTGTTGAGTATTTCATTGAATACTTACATATATACAGCAATATGTACCTGACAGAAGGTTAAAATAAACATGATGCCCCTCTACAAACATAGTTCCAAGAATTGGTGGGGATAGTGACCGTCAGCTAACACGGCAAAGTCCCAGTCAGCTAATGCGGCACTATTGTATACATTATCGTTTGAACCAACTATGTAATGCACCTGTAACAGATTTAGACGGAGTGGATACAAAGTGAAGAAAATATTGTGCTTTGATGCAGGCATACGAACATACTGATGCTCAAGTGATAACAAGAATAGAATTTGTCGAACTTTTGATCAGTGTAATTGAAGACAACTTATTCAAAGTACATGATGTCATCCTCTTCTGGTGCTAACATAAGCATAGCGGATCGGTTAGAAATTTTAACAAAGTTAGAAGATGGTATGACAGTGAGTGGCATCGCCTGTGAATACGGGCTGAGCAAAAGGACTATACGACGATACCGGCAGAATTCAAAAGAAATTCGCAACTTCGCGGCAAATCCAAAGCATCGGGAGATGAAGAGGCAACGGAAATCAACATACACAGATATGGAGACGAAATTGTACAATTGGTTTCTGCAAAGGAAGTTATTAGGAGATTGTTTAACAGATAATATCTTAATTAAAAAGGCCAAAGAAATGGAGACAGAGTTTGCTGGTACGTCGAATTTCAAAGGGAGCCGGGGCTGGCTCTGGAACTGGAAGAAGAAGTACGATATTGATAAGAAAACGACGAATCCAAACGAAATCGCCGCGAATAATTTTATACGTGAATTTTTGCAAACGTTAGTAAAGGAAAATATAGACGAAGAAGATGTGTATAATATAGACGAGACTAGTTTACTTTGGAGGGCACTTCCGTGGAAAACTTTAGCCCACGAAGAAAAATGTTTGATTATAAAAGGAGAAAACGGAAAGACAGACATAGTGACTGTCGCATTTTGCGCAAATACCAGTGGTACACATAAATTGCCATTACTCTTTGTAAATAAATTCGCTAATCCTCGAGCATTAAAACATTGCAGGGATACACTACCGGTGGTATATAAAAGTCACCCTAATGCTTGGATTAACGAAGATATATTTCGAGAATGGTACAATAATCATTTTAAGCAATGTGTAAAAGAGCGCCAGTTACAGGAACAACGTGAAGGAAAAGTAATATTACTCGTTGATAATTTCAAGGCCCATAAACTTGAAAAAGACGAACTGGACGATGGGCATTTCGTATTAATGTTTTTACCACCGAATACTTCTTCGATGATTCAACCTATGGATCGAGGTGTAATTGCCGAATGTAAAAAACTATTTAGGCATAAACTGTTTCATCAAGTATGTTTTACGTTTAATACAATTCGCTTAAAACAATTCAATTTTTTTATATGCATACTATATACGTTTCTTTCCAACAGGTACTTCAAGTACTGCAATATGATGACGGTCTTACACAATTTTATGCTGATTACGATATTAAAGATTGTATCAACTTTATTAGTGAAGCATGGGATGATGTTACATTGCAAACTATACATAACTCATGGGCGAAAATTCTTAACCGTCAGGTTGAACTTGATGATGTTAGAACAGAGAATCCCATAGTCTCTGAAGAGAAGAATGGGGAACAATCGTTCAATGTAATGTCTGCCAAAGAAATAACAGAATGGATTTCCAGATGCGAACAAGTTGAAATAATTCTCGAAGAAACATCAATTGACGGAGAAAATAAGTCACCATCTTCCCCTCCCATAGAGGGCGAAGAAATAGATCGTTTGCTGTATAATTTAAAAACATTGAGTAAAATCGAGCCAGAAATTGAGGCCGACGCAAAACGAATAATAGATTATTTTAATAAAACTGAAGAAAGATAATATTGTTTGTAGATGTTGTTACCATTATTTTTACAGAAGTACTGTATCATTTAAATCATATATAATATACGCCATATCGTCAAGATTATTTCTATACAACTACTGTTATATACCCTTATTCATAGTTTGCAAGTTTCTATATTTTCTTTTATTACGATAATTAAATATTTAATATTCAAGTATGTGTTATATTGTAATATAATATTCCAGTATTTGAAATAACAAAAGATATAAATTATCGCTTATTCGTTGGACCTCTTTCTTCTTTTTGTATTTTGTTATTAATTTTGTAATAAAACGTTTATAATAAAATTATATAAATTTTTTTTTTTATTTTTACTTCTATATACGTAAATATCTATATGGATATGAATTGATTCTTATACAAAATTAAATATATTTTATTTACATTTCAAAAGTCAATTTTTTGGAACTTTATACTGTAAAATATCTTTTACCATAAAAAAATTAATCCTCCTTCTTTGATTAATAATCGATTTTTATTCATTTCAGGAAACATGTGATCTCTTGGCAGATAAATACATTGAGTACGATCCAGCAATAATTTTAGTTGATTTAATATTACTTAAAAGACAAGCATACAGACATTTACTTTATAATTGTGATATAACGTCTTGTTGGAAACTAGTAATAATTTTGTGGCTTATTGAATCTTTCCGAAATTTCTATCTATGTAACAATATCAATCAATATGTTCAATATTGGAAGATATTTCAATCTAATGTTAATGGAGAATGTAATTTCTATTTAATATTATTCAATACTGCTTTCGCTTTTGCGGCTTTCGTCTTTGCTATAATTTTCTGTACTAAAGTGAAGTGGCATCTTTATCCAAATAATCCAAACAAATGTAGTGTAATACAGTTAATGAAAGCTTTAATCGTCGGTGGATCTGGAAAATTATTAGGATTATTGGAAATTACTTGGGGACATATTTTTCTGACACCCCATTACTTGCTTATATTGGGATATACTCTTCTTTGTTTACTCACAGCCTATTCAGGTAAGAAATTTTACTTTTTAAATGCATGATTCGTATATATAACAAATCTTTTTAATAATAATGAAATTAATAATCGAACACATCCATATATTATTCATTTCATATCGTATCAATGAATAAGTTGTTTTAACTAAATTATGAAATTGTGGCATTCCCATATATATATAAAACTATGATTTATTATTGTATATATGATTGAAGTAAATTTATAATTATTATTAATTTGTCTATGTTATGTAATTTCAGTGGCGACTAATAATAAAAAACTGGAATCCTTTATAATTTTGGGAATAGGCATACTTGTCTACAACTATGCATCTAATTTTTCTTTCACAATATTTGAAATTTTAAAATTAGTTTAATTATTTATTTTCAATCGAATTTGATTTTATAATTCTATTTACTATAACATTAAACTAAACTAAATAAATATATCTGCGATATATACATATTTAACATTCCTTAAGAGGTACGATACTCCATCCGAGGACTAATCTATCAAAACCACAAGAGAACAAATTACAAACTCCGCTATCTTCAGCCCAGGCTACCGACGAGACCATCCTTCGATGACCCTGAAATTAATTTCAAGATCAAATGTCTGCCACAACTATGAGACTAATAGACTTTTTTTGCTCTAAATAAAAAATATTTTTATTAAAAGTATTTTTAATTATTTTATTAAAACTGATTCCTGAATAACTATTGTATTTCATAAATTTATAAAATTATGATAATAAAGAATATATAAATCTTATAGAATATACGATGAAATTTTCTCTTACCTGTCTGCTAGTTCTTGGCAATCTAGCTAATCGTTGACCATTGAGATCAAATAATCTAATTTGTCTATTATCATGTGGAATTGCAACAGTACCAGTGCTTGATACTGCTAATCGATTAGCGGCACTATCGCCTCGAATTGTAGCTAAAGGACTTCGTATATTTCGTAATTCCCATACTTTTACACTTCGATCATCCGAACCAGAAACGATTTTATCTTCACGCGTGAAAACAGCCGATGTCACAGTTCTGTA